ATGGAAGATATATGTTGTAGTCACCCGATCCTTGTTATTTTCACTGTGAAAATGGTGCGAAATTTCATGTTCCTAGCTGCATAAATGGAGGAGTTATGATAAAAGACCTCATATCTGAACAATCAGTTGTATGGGGGCTGCAGCTTATAGTGACCCGATCTTTGTTATTTTCGCTGTAAGTCTTCTCTTGATAATGAGTGAAAACAGCGCGAAATTTCATGGTCCTAGCTACATAAATGCATGAATTATAACGAAAAATCTCATATCTGAACAATCAGTTGTATGGGAGCTATAGGTTATAGTTATCCGATCTTTTTAATTTTCACTGTAAGTTTTCTGTTGATAATTATTGAAAACAGTGCGGAATTTCCTGTTCCCAGCTATATAAATGGAGGAGTTATAACGAACAATTTTATATCTGAACAATCAGTTGTATGGGAGCTATAGGTTATAGTGAACCGATCTCTGTAATTTTCACTATAAGCATTCTGTTTATAATGGGTGCAAGTGCTGCAAAATTTCATGTTCGTGGCTGCATAAATGGAGAAATTATAACGAAAAAATCTCATATCTGAACAATCAGTTGTATGGGAGCTATATGTTATAGTGGTCCGATTCTTCCGGTTCCGACAAATGATTAATACATTATAAAAATACACCCACCTACCAAATTTGATCAGGATATCTCGAAAACTGAGAGACTAGATTGCATACAAACAGACGGACAGACGGACAGACGGACATGGATAAATCAACTCAGCTCGACGTTCTGATCATATAAGTATACATTTTAATGGGTCTATCTCTTTTTGTTCTGGTACTTACAAACATCGGACCAAAGTTATAATACCATTTCATGCTCATGAAAGGTATAAAAAAACGCCAAAAGATTATTTTCCCTTCTTGTTTACCTGTTCCATTGCTCAGGCTTGGATCGTTGTTGGTGCCCGACTGCACGGCATCGTACATTGGATTCGAGAAATCACGCGTTTTAGCCGTATTCACGGTCTGCAGATTATAGCCCTCAATGGGAGGTACATCATTGGATGGATCCGCCGCAGCGCCACCCGGAAAACCAGGTGCGTTGAACTCAACGTTTGTGCCATGGCGGAACGTAACACTTTGTGATGATGTTAATGTCGGTAGACGCGCCAATTTACCGCTGCAAGTAAGTGAAGAAAATATTATCTATCACATTTTTTAAAAAATAGTTCATCTTTAACTTACAATGGCTTCTTCCGTATGACATACCACGCGCCACCCGCTGTCAGCAACACCAGCAGTATCACCATTATCGGTACCACAACTGCTGTTACATTGGCACCGCCGTGACCGAATGCGCCGGCTACACTGCGATCACAATGCTCGCCCTTGAAGTCAGGCTGGCATTCACAGTATAAATCGCCACGTTCATCTTCGCTGCATAGACCGCCATTCTGGCATGGGCAAATACGTGGCGCAGGACGTGGTCGCTCCGCTGCAGCGTCACAAATCACTTCGGCAGTGCTGCGATGCGATGGCAGTGGTCCGGAATTATCTGGACAAGCGCAACGATGACCGCCAGGTACCAGCAGACACAAATGCGAGCAACTGGACTCATAGCATGGATTGCGTAGCGAAGTATTGTAACGTTGCTCATGATAGACCTTCAGACCGGACGGATTGACGAGGTTACGATGAATGATTACCTGCACGCCACGCCCGAACTTATCTTGACGTATCACTTCGCCGGAGTCTCGCGTTACCCAGTACATGGTGGATTCGAAGATATCCAAAGAGATGGGATGACGCAGCTGATCGCCCTTTACTATCACCTTGCGGCGCGAGCCATCGTTACGCATCGATTCGATGGTGTTCAATTTTGTATCCACCCAATAAATGATATGATCTTGCGAATAGTCAATTGTAAGGCCAGTAGGGTGACGTATTTGCTCCGTGATGAGCGGGCGACGTTTCGAGCCGTCCATCCAAGAAACTTCAATCTTCGGCGCTGAACCGGCATCAGCCCAGTAGGCCCGACCCAGTTGTGGATTCACTACAATGGATGTGGGTACCTCGAGACCGGCATTTACTATCGAACGTCTGTAGCGTCCATCCGTTTTGGCAACCATAACGCGACCACGTGGTTTTGAGCCAGTGCGATCCACTTCAGTCCAGTAGAGATTCGATGCCAGCCAATCTATGGCAACCGCTGTCGGTTTAGAACCTCCTTTCATATTCAAGTCTTGCGCAAAACCAATCTTCGCCTGTCCATCCAAGGCATTCACCATGTACGAGCGCTTGATTGTCTTGTCATAGCTGTCCGCCCAGAAAACGATTTGTTGCTGCGCATCATAGTCCAAAGCTTCGATGCGTTTCTCGGCTGCAATCACATCGAATTCCTCCCGCTTCTGCAAATCCAAGCCACGTATTTCTGGTCCGTTCGCGAATACTAGCACAATGTCCTCCTTCTCAGCTCTGCATACGCCAGATTGACTATCCACCAAACGGAAACCTTCACGACACGAGCACGAATATGTGCCATTGAGGTTTTGACACATATGCGAACAGGTATGTTGGCGCGTTATACATTCGTTTACGTCCAAGCAGCGCTTCTTGTTCTCCGCCGAGATAATATAGCCCGGATAACAGGCGCAGATGTAGCCGCCATCGGTCAGATTGTGACAATGATGCTCACAACCGCCGCGTGTCAGTTCCGAGCAGGTGTTGGTGTGGTGACAACCTAACTCATCCGAAGCATCGCCGCAATCATCGGAGTAATCACAAACCTGGGCGCGCTCAACACAATTCTTATTAGCGCATTGATATTGCGTGTAAAGATCACATGGTTTCTGTTTATTGGCACACAGCGTCATATTATTCTCATCGGAACCATCACCACAATTGTCCACACCATCACATATCTGATAGCGCGCCACGCAGCGGTGATTGGCACATTGGAAGCGGCGCAACGTATCACAATTAAAGTCCGTGCACACTTTAACATCCTCATCCGAACCATCACCACAGTCGTCGGTACCATCGCACAGATCAGAAGGCGAAACGCAGAGGTTATTGTTGCACTGGAAGCGCGACTCAGGGCAGTAGCGACCGCCAGGGAAGCGTGGTGGACAATCAATTTCATCAGACATATCACGACAATCGCGATCACCATCGCAACGGAAGTACGAAGCGATGCAGTGACCAGACATGCACTGGAAGGTGCCGTTCTTGCACTGATAGCCCTCACAGTTCATCTCATCAGAGTTGTCGCCACAATCGTCCTCATGATCGCACTGCCAACGCGACGAAATGCATTTGCCATTAGCGCAGTGGAATTCCGACTCTGAGCACTCACGATATTTACCCTTGCAAATGGCGTCACTCTCATCGCTGCCATCGCCGCAATCGTCCGAGAAGTCGCACATCCATTGTCTATAGCGAAGAGAAGGACAAAATATTAGAAAATTAACACTCTGAAGGCTATGCTATTAACCTACTTTGGTATGCAGCGATTATTGGCGCACTTGAAGTCCGTTTCCGTTGAGCATTTCGGGCAATTCTCTGGCAACTCATCGCTATTGTCGCGACAGTCGTCTTTGCCATCACAGAAGAGCCACTTCGGTATGCAGCGGTAGTTCGATTGACCGGGGCAGCGTTGCCAGCCAGTGGTGCAGTTGCGTTGGCGGCACATGTAGGCTGGCTCGTCGGAATCATCGCCGCAATCATTGTCGAAGTCGCACATCCACAGTTTCGGTATGCAGCGGCCATTCTTGCAGCTGAATTCCGTTTCCGGATCGCAGGCGCGCTTATCTGAGGAGTGAAAAAAATTAAATATATAGTCAAAATTAAACTTGGCTAGTACTTACGACACACAGCCGGATCTTCATCACTGCCATCCTTACAGTCGGCATCGCCATCACAACGCCAACTATCGAGTATACAGCGTCCGCTGGATTTGCATTTGAAGTCGGATTCGGGGCAGGGAAGATCGCAATTTTGTTCATCGCTGCCATCGCC